AACAACAGTTATCAGGCGAGCATCGAGATAGCTCCATTTGAGGCGTTGTACGGCAGACCTTGTAGGTCTCCAGTTTATTGGACATAGGTGGGCGAGACAGCCGCCTTGGGACCCGACATTGTACTCGAGACCACCGAGAAGATTAAATTAATCCGACAGAGATTGCTCACAGATCAAAGCCGACAAAAGAGCTATGTAGATAGGCAGAGACGACTACTGTCTTTTGAGGTGGGAGACCATGTTTTCTTACGGGTTTCTCCACGGAAGGGATAAGCTTTGGAAAAAGTGTCAAGTTGTCGCCATGGTTCATTGGACCGTTTGAGATTTTGGACCACGTGGGAGAGGTGGCCTACAGACTTGTATTACCACCACAGATGGATAGAGCCTATAATGTTTTTCATGTATCGATGATAAGGAAGTATGAGCCGGATCCATCTCACATTTTGGATTGGGTTGATGTAGATGTCGATGAAGATGTCTCCTATGAAGAGGGACCAGTGTAGATCCTTGACACATGGCAAAAGGTGTTAAGGGGCAAAACAATCCAGTTACTGAAAGTTCTTTGGAGACACCATGGAGTCGAGGAGGCTACTTGGGAGCTTGAATAGCAGGTTCGCTCCAAGTACCCAGAGTTCTTTTCTTCCCTAGGTATGGCCTAATTTTGGGGATGAAATCTTTTTAAGTTGGGGAGATTATGATGTTTCCAATTTTTCACATTTTTTATTTTTCCTGAATTTCATCGCCACGAGGGTATTTCTGTCTTTTCACGTTTTTCGTACGGGATTTTGGTTGAGTCCACATGCATTTCATACATTTTATTTTATGTGTTTTATATAGTATTTGTATGATGATGTGATTCATGTATTATGTGGTGTAAATGAAAAGAAAAGAAAATAAGAGAAAATAAATTAAAATTCATGGTGGGGCCCACAACCACTTTTAAGTGGCATAGAGACCACTTTGGTCTCTTATTCTTTTCCCCTTTCCCGTAAGTCTCTCTCTCATCTCTTTCCTTTGCAATTTTTCTTCCTTTCTCACAAGCAAACTTCAAGCGTTGATTCCAACTTCAATACTTGGAATTTTTAAGTGCTGTTTGAGGCAAAACGGAAAGCACAACAAGCTCTACGCGTGAGTACCAACAATTTCAGCTTTGGTCCTCCATAGAATTTTTGAAATTTAGAAACTATTTTGAGGGTTTTGCACAAACTTGAGGTAGAGGCTTCCTAATCCGCATACTCTTGTACTTTTGTGAGTCAAATTACTTGAATTGTGACTTAACATGCTTATTTGTGCTAATTATAGTTTAAAATGATTTAATTATGGATATGTGGTTATGTGAGGACATGTATTAAATGTATTATGTGGAAAGCATGCTTATATGATGAATTTCTATGCTTATTATGTTGTTTATATGCTATGAATGATGGATGAAGGCATGGTTCGTTGTGTTATGTGAAAATCCCTTATTGTTAAAGCATTAAAAGTATGAGACATGCATGTAAGTCATTGGGTTTCATGATGGGTAATGTTTTGAATAAAGTAAAAAGGGGATTTTCGGGAGAAAATTGTTTTGAATCAGTTTGGAGAAAAACCGGTCGCCGCGGGGTTACCAAAGGGCCGGAGTGTTAATATAGCCTAGAGGGAACTAGGGAGTCGCCCTAGTGTGATTGAGCTAGCTGGGCCATAATGACGTCGCAGGGGTACCAAGGGTCAGGGACAGTAGCCAATCCTTCTCTCGTGTCGCTGCGAGGTCACCAAAGGGCGGGTTATATTAACAGTTTGAAAGTGATGATTTTAAATGTGAAAAATGGGGAGCGACATCGGCATGCATTGCATCCCCATTGCATCATATTATTTATGTTGAGATTGGAAACCATGTTGTAATTTCCCGACATTGTATGACCCCGATTTCCATGGTTCTATTCTTTGTTTTGGATTCACGGGGACTCAAGAGGTGCCTCTTAGGCGCCACTTACTGAGCAAATTGCTCACCCCACCATATTTAAATTTCTTTTCAGGTCACGGCAAAGAGTTGGCAGATGATAATCCGCCTCATGCTTCAGAGCACTTAGGAAGCATTTTGGATGTATTTTTGTAGAGCTTGAACTTATTTTGTAAAGATGTTGACTTAGGATGTATTACTTTTGCAACATGTAAAATATTTGGATTTTAGCATGTACATGGCCAGTGGGGTAATGTAATTAAGTTTTACCTTAATCGTTTAGTGTATTTTGATAATGTGTGGTAAATTATGTTAACGTTGTAGTTGTTGTTATTGTGGATGTTGAAATGTATTTACGTATGTACGTGAGTGTAGTGGTGTGGGTGATTGACTTTCAAAGTTGGTGTATCTCGACAGTGAGTGAGGATGACTCAAACCAGTCGACGTAAAATCCCATACGTCGATCGAGTTGCGTGAACCAGTTGACGTGTAGCTTCCCACACGTCGACCGGTATCCTGACAGTAAGCTTTTCACTGTATACGTTCCAAACCAGTCGACGTGTAGCTTCCCACATATCGACCGATATCTCGGCATTGGGATTTTCCACTGTTTATAACCTAAACTAGCTGATGCATAATGCATATACATCGACCGGTTCTTGTCCCATAAACATTATTTTTTTAACTTTCTTAATTACACTTTGGCACCCAATTGATATATGAGTATTTACCTTATGGCCCAATCAAAGTGCAATAAATATATTTTGACTACCGAAAAGAGTATATTGTCCCGAACCTTATTTTATTTATTGCGTGATGTAAGTAAATGACTATTATGCCCTTGAGTCTCAAATTATTGAATTATAGCAAATTACCATCTTACCCTTTTTGGACCTTGATAATTGAATTTAACGTGAAAGGACCGTATTACCCTTGGACGATTCTGGGTCGGGTAAGGACCCATTTAATAATCCGGATCCATGAGGATTTGGGTCTTTACAGAAGCTCCACTTCGGTCGACCGAAATGATGCTGTTTGGCCATTCTTCACCTATTCTTCTGGTATTTATCATGTTGATCATTGGAATGTGTTTTGAGACTTCCTAAAGACGCAGTTCAAGTGAAATGGTGACATTTTGACTCTAGAAATGTCGAGTTTGATGTAGGTGACCTCGGGTTCGAGTAAGGACCCGACTAACGGTTCGGACCCTGGGTTCGGGTCGTTACAGTAGAGGTGGTAAAAGGTGGTGGCGGTGCAAGGCGGTAGCGGTGGTGGTGGAAAGTGGTGGTGATAGTGAAAGACAATGGTAGTGGTGGAAGGTGGTGGCAGTAGCGGTGTTGAAAGGTGGTGGCAGTACGTGGTGGTGGTGGAAAGCGGTGGGCGATGGTAAAAGTCAGTGGCGGTGGTGGTGGTGGTGGAAGGCAGGTGGTGAAATGTGGAGGTGGTTGTAGTGGAAGGTAGTTTTTTGGACTCGGACCACGAGGGTTTTTTGGGAAGTTTATTTTTTTAAAAAAATTACTTGGGAATGGAATGGCCATTCCATAGGTTTAGTTGTGAAATAAATTTTCATTCTCAGGAATGGATTTTCATTCCAATGGAATGGCCATTCCCACTTTAAATTGCATACCAAACAAAGGAATGGTTGGAATGGACATTGCATTCCTGCATACCAAATGCAGCATTTCCATTCCATTGGAATGAAAATCCATTCCACAACTAAACCTATGGAATGGCCATTCCATTCCTAAGTAATTTTTTTTAAAAAATAAACTTCTTAAAAAACCCTTATGTTTTGAATCCAAAAAACTAAAATATATATTTTTCACAATCTTTCCAAAATATATATCTCTCACAATAATTTTCAAACCACTGGAAGTAGAGCCAAGTAGTTCATTTTGGGAAGTTCAACCTTAATCAGAGCTGATGGTTCGCATTGGGAGGTCCACCAAAGGTTCGCATTGGGCGTCCTTATAATTTCTTTTAGCTATATTTCTATTTAATTTGTGTCTTTTTTAGTCTACCTTGTTGTTTCACTACAAGAAAAAAGGGCTTCCACGAGGGGCCAAAAACGCTGTGGAAACCTATTCACGGCGCATCCTAGGCACTCGTGTATGAGGGTTCCATAAATACTCAATTTTTTTTACGAGAAAAAATCTACCTCGTAGAAAAACAATAGAGTCGCCGTAGAAAATAATTTCGTTTATATATATTAAATTTTATTTAATTAACCTACGAGGTGCCGAGGCATGCCGTAGAAAGGTTTCTACGGCAAATTGTAACTACCCGTAGAAAACTCACGAGACACCATCGCCTGCCGTAGAAAATTTTTTTACGGCGAAGTATAACTACCCGTAAATAATCTCACAAGGTACCCACGGCTGCCGTAGAAAAGTTTTCTACGACAAGTTGTAACTACCCGTAAATAATCTCACGAGGTACCCACGGCTGCCATAAAAAAGTTTTCTACGGCAAGTTGCAACTATCCGTAAATAATTTGATGAGGTACAAAATCATGCCGCAGAAAAATTTTCTAAGGCAAATTTTAACTACCCGTAAATAATCTCACGAGGCATTAAATCAAGCCGTAGAAAACTTTTCTACGGCAAATTTTAGGTACCCGTAAATAATATAAACCATTCTCACGACTTGCCATATATGCCGTAGAAAAGTTATTTAAGGAAGATTTTCACTTATTTACGGTATTTCAAGCTCCCCGTAAATAAAATATATATATATATATATTTTTATATTTTTATATAAATAATACACCCTTAATTAATTCCTGTTAATCATCCACTACCTATAATTTACATCACTTTCAGCTATAATTCATTTCAATTCAAAAAACATACATATCCCATTAAATATATCAAAAGAGTTAAAACATTTTTACAATTCATCATTTATCAATGTTCCAAAATAGAAAGTACATCCATTTGTCAAGAAAATCATCAATTTCTTAACACTTCTGTTGAAAAATTGATAAACCTTCTAGCACTTGAGTTTCAGTCTGCACTTGTCAAAAAACCAGCTCATTGTACAAAATCCAAGGAAGTAGCTACAAAATCCAAGGAAGTAGCTGCAAAATCCAAGAAAGTAACTGTATCACACAAGTCTTAAATTCAGAATGCTAATAAAAAAGGAAATAACAAGATTATCATTTTATGAATCAAACACAAACATTTTGCTAAGAATTTTTTCCTTAGATCTGCTTTTATATTTGAAGCAGATAATTTTCCTTAATTGAATACTAGATTTTTACAAGGATGTATGAGAACAGACAATATCATAATCTCTTTATATTCATGAACACTACAATATCATAATATGTAGTCGCTTTATCTCATGATTATGAACAAATCTGAAACATTCTGAAACAAATCGGAAACATTGTAGGTTTTTGGTGCAACGATTATGAGCAAATCTGAAACTTTGAATACAAATATATATATATATATATATATATATATATATATATTATCTCAGTTTGTTGGTAGTTTAATTTATATATGTTTTCTTTTTAAAACTGAAATTCAGTGTTCTAACACTGAAGATGTTGTTGTAACCTTGCATTGGAATATACCTTGCTTGTTAATTGGTTATTAATACCTAAGCAAGTGTATCTAGCCTATTGAAGACTAGGGGAGTGGACTTCTTTAGGACGTCAAAGGGAACTCGAATAAGTTTAATTCAAAACTCTCAATTTCTTTCAAAGATTCAATCTTTTAGAATTGAAAAGGTCCAGTGATATAACAGGTACCTTGATTGAGGTTTTTTCAATCAAAGATTCAATCTTTTCTCATTAAAACACTCTACTGTACGTCAAAGGGAACTTGAATATGTTTAACTCAGAACTCTCATTTTCTTTCAAAGATTCAATCTTTTTACATTAAAAAGGTCTAGTGACATAGTAGGTACATTGATTGGGTGAACCCCTCTTTCAATTTTGGTTGTTGCAGTTATTCTTCGGAAGGCTTCGTTGCTCCAAAACCTCTCCTCTTATTTTATTTTTTATTCTATACTATATTCATATATATATATATACATACACACACACTATTTGCTTGGAGAAAGAAAGATGATGACCCGTATCATTTTTATGGCATATATGCAGCAGCTAGTTCTTAGCCACCAAACCAACCCACCAACATCTTGACAAGTTGGAGTTTGGTTTAGGAAAGTGGACCTTCTATGGACACATCACACATGACTTACATCTAAGCTAATGAGGTTGTTATGACAATTACCAGTGAATATTTTATCAACTTCTATATAAAATACACACTATCCATAATGACCCGTATCATTTTTATGGCATATATGCAGCGACTAGTTCTTAGCCACCAAACCAACCCACCAACATCTTGACAAGTTGAAGTTTGGTTTAGGAAAGTGGACCTTCTATGGACACACCACACATGACTTGCATCTAAGCTAATGAGGTTGTTATGACAATTGCCAGCCCCATGACCCTAACCCAGTTTGAGACTGGCGATATGTGTAATTGTAATGGATTGGTTAGAGATCTTCTCCAACCAGTGAATATTTTATCAACTTCTATATAAAATACACACTATCCATAATTAGTCTCAACAATGCAAGCAAAATTTTAAACCACCCTCCACACTTACTTCCCTTTTTATTCCCTTCTTTATTCTTTTTATTTATTTATTTCTCCAATTTCTCTCTTTCAAGTATCAAACAAAAGAACACAAATTATTTATCTTCCTTTCTTCTTTTGGCTTCTATCTTATCTCTGTAAATTTTATAAAATAGAACACAAAGCTAAAATCTGTTATAACGGAGCCAACTTTGAGGGAGGAATCTATAATTTCTAAAACGTTAAAGGTATTGCCTGCAATTTGGCCTAACCTCGAGGGAAGAAACAGATCTAAGCTTTCTCTCCATTAGACCCCAATTCATTCCTCTTTTGCCGGCTTCTTTATGGCGATTTTAGCCGCTTTTTATGTCCTTTACTTGGGACTCACCCTACCTGACACAATAATGAGCATTTGTAATAACCCTTACCCTATCCAAATACAAAGGTATATAGTGAAACGTTTGTGCATGTGGAGGAAGGGAAGTGGTATGGTGTAATGGTCAGATTCATGCCGTTAATCTCTCTCTCTCTCTCTCCTTCCCTTTTGAGGGGTTTGAAAGGAGTGCCGGATGTTTATATTCTTGTTAACGGTATTCCCTGCTTAGATGCAAACTATAGACTAGGACTGATCTAGAATTAAGAATAACTGTAAAATTGTCGAATTTGCATCGTTAATTTATCTCTTTCCCTCATGTGTAAATCAATCTAATTGCTTTCCTAGAGAGATCCTGAAATCTCAAGATTACTGCATTTCTGGTATCAGCAATCATGTATATATTGTTGCTTTAGAACTCTTAGCATGCATTTTATCTTGCATGGGCAATAAATAATATCTAAGCAGAAAAATGATTAACTTGGCTTTGAAAGGGGTATTGACATTTATATTCATGAACACTACAATATCATAATATGTAGTCTTTTTATCTCATGACTATGAGCAAATCTGAAATTCATGAACACTACATCTCAGTTTGTTGGTAGTTTAATTTATATATGTTTTCTTTTTAAAACTGAAATTCAGTGTTTTAACACTGAAGATGCTGTTGTACCTTGCATTGGAATATACCTTGCTTGTTAATTGGTTATTAATACCTAAGCAAGTGTATCTAGCCTATTAAAGACTAGGGAAGTGAACTGTGAGGTGTTCCTAAGCTTAAGTGTATCTAGCCTATTAAAGACTAGGGGAGTGGACTGTGAGGTGTTCCTAAGCTTAAATCACAAAGTTGCCCTTGAAAGCTTAAAAGCTAGGTTTTTGTGGGATTAAGCCTGCTTATGTGTGCCTATTGCTGTAACTTGCTATGTAAAGTGTTCTAAACAATCAAGCAAGTATAATTTGATGATACAAGGCTGTGGGAGTTAATTAAAGACCTGAACAGGAGCTGCATTGTGAAAAGACTTGTCTAACCTCAATTTTGGGATTTAAGCCTTTGTGAAGAGAAACTGTTTTATCTTGCTCCTATCATTGTGCTATTCTTTTGAGCAAGTGTTTTTGAAGATACCTAGGTTGGGGGAAACAAGTAAAGGTCTATTTTGAAGCTACATTGTGAAGTTACCGGTTTAACATTGGGTACAGTTCAACATATAAAAACCAATGGTTAGTGATCTTTTAACATTTTCATCACAAGTACATCCTATTTTCATCAAATGTCAATATATAATTTTTTTTTCTGAATTAAATGATAACGGATATCTTCACATAGAATAATAAATCAAATGTTTCATGACCTAGTTTTAACTCTTTTGATATATACATATTGCTGTCATTCTATATAGAAAAGGAAAGGTGCATTTGTGTTTGTTTTGTGGGGGCCCAAAGTTTTGAAGAAATCTCCTTCCCATCAATAATTTTTATCCTTTGTGATTTCTTCATTCAACACACGACTTTTTTGACTCTTAAATATGATGACTCACAACTTACTATTCTCATACTATTCTCAGTGGTGGTTGTTTGTTGGCGGCTTTGTGTTTGCATTTGGCTTTGTCAAATTCGGATGGAGTGGAAAGATGGTATAAATGAAGTTCTTATCATATTTTTAAATCATCAATTAATAAAATTGAACACGTAATCGATCCAAGAAAAATCTCATGACATCAACAACTTCTCCTCCACAATAATCAATCAAAACCTCCACATACGATGATCCCATAATCCTATGCTTTCAACATTTTAAAACAAGAAATAAAATTTAATGGCCTCCACACGGGCCGATGTACCAATAAGGCAATAAAGTTCAAGATACACCGCAATATTGGTCACTTAAAGGCACGTGACCCCCTAAGTATGAGTATAAAATGCATTAAAATTGTGCAATCATAAAAGAAGCTTAGTATTTGACCTTTGTTGTAGACTGGAATCATAGAAATTCTGATTCTTCTGCTCCTAATGAACTGGTGATAATCAATCCTGTCTATAAAAAAATATTTTAAAAATGTAATGCAAACAAATACATAAAAAATCAGATCGTATGACTAATTTAAGAAATATAATAATAAGTTAATGAATAACTAATTGACCTGAATAATTTTCACATATTTCTTAAGCCATACAACCGAGCTTGTGTTAGCAGCACGAAGATAAAAATTTCCATTTAGGCTTGCTCGATACAAAGGACAGTCGTCGACCAAGATATCATCAATCCATACTTTCCAACAATCTGGACCAATTAGAAAATGATCTTCTAACGCATTGGGATCCATTGCTGCTATCTCAGCCTTTGCAATAACTACACCTGACCCATTCCAGTGTAACAACTCACATTTTAAACCTTGTAGATCTTCTATAATAGGACTTGGCATAGCATTAGGCTGAGAACCAGCGCTAGCATTTTGGGACTACAATTAATAAAAACTTGGATTAAAAAAACTAGTACATTAAATTCAAATGCTATATAGGCAGAAAATAATACGTATATAAATTGTTGTAACACTTACCAACAAGGCTTTCATCTCATTCATAATCTCATTTCTCATTTCATGTTTGATTTGTTCGACTCTTTGTTCAACTATTTCTTCTACCCTTTTTGTTTACACCCTTTGGAAACCATTTGCCTCAATTTTAGAGATAGTTGCTCCAAAACCAAGGCCTCTAACTCGGCCTTTACGTTCTGGACCAAGTACATGAGTGACTCCATCATCTCGAAGAGAGCTTGTGCCTTTAGGTTGGGTTTTGGTGTACTCTTTCATTTGTTTCTGAAATTCCATATTTTAAACATGTTTGTTGTTATGCTTTTAAGCATGTTTATAAATGGAATTTTAAAAAATATAAGATAGGTAGGAAAGATATATTACCACTGCTTCTTTTGTCACATCGTTCAAAGGTTTCCCACCCTTCCTCATGTGACCTTCGATCCATACATCAACCCTTGTTATAGAGTCAGGTGCATCAGTTTTTTTTCTCTACACAGGAACAATATTTGTGTATAGATAATAGAACATGTTAATATTATACAAGTTAGTATAATATTTGTGTAAAATTTGCTAATAAATTTTTTTTCAAATACTTACACACATAGATAAGTGCTGCAGCGATTACAAGAGAGGCTGTGCTAAAGAGGACAAAAATGTGTGTTCTCAGCTCTATTTGAGCTACATTTGAGAGGCTGTGCTAAAGAGGACTCAAGACCAAAGAATAAGAGAGGTTTACAGAGATTTTAAATGATCATTTAAGCTGAAATTCAACCCTAAATTCAGTATAAAATGAGGGTCTCAAAGATAATCAAAGAGGGCTGAGAGTATAAAATGAGGGTCTCGAAGATAATCAAAGAGTGCTGAGGGTCTTTTTTGGAGCTGAGACAAGGGCTGAGCAAGTATAAGTTGGTGATTTACATCTGCAGGAAGCCACAAAAACAACAACTCTAGAGCTGGTATCAATTCTCAGATCTCAAACCTGCTCTATATTTAATTTCTGATGCATTGCAGCTGTATGTGAACTTAAAAGTGATACATCTTTATGTTACATGCATTATTGTTGCTTGATCATGCTTATAATGATGATACAGAGTTGTACAATCTAAACTACATATCAGAAAAATAACCTTTTATAGTTTCAGGCCTAATAGACTTAACAAATCAGGTTTTATTTAAATTTAATGGCCTGCTGTGAGTGGTGTGACTGTCATACCTGAGTGTAGTTGACATAATTTTCATCTGAGCACCTCTAGTTTGATATTATATGAATGGGAGAATCCAGAACTGAGATGTACCACAGCAAATTTACAATTCTGTCCCTAAGAACATCACTGCTGCAGAAAATAATTGTGAAGCTTGGTTTGGGTTGTGACTTATTACTAACTTGTTAAAAACAGAGTTGTGGTAATTGAAGCATGTGTTATATGATGATTGTAAGCTGTGGAAGCTAGTTTCAAGAAGGACCAGCCACAGAATTAGTGAAGTGCCCCTAAAACAGAAAAGGCTAAGACAAGACTATGGGAATCTATTTTGAGCATCAAGAGAAGCTGCATTGTGGTTTGAAAGTTGTATCCCTATTGGTGTAGAGAATTGAAGCTAAGATTTCCTGTGTTGTATACTTTGAGCTGAAATTTCCACTAATAATGCACAATTTAGCTTCCAAAGCACATGATTAAATACAAAATATCGATACAAAATATGTCTGATACATGTACAAAATCAAACAACAAGATCCATTCATGGAATGAAAGAAGAAAAGAAAGATGGAATAATTAGTTCTACTTACCATTTCGTCCTCTAGACGAGCATACCCGTTACGACTTGTTGTGTGAGGCATCTTTTGCTTCTTTCGCAATTCTTGAGATTTTTCTCTCTTTCGCTATAAACAAATAATATAATTACTAATTTCTAAAGAAGAAAGTTATTAGAGAAAATAATTTGATCAATATTTTACTTACTTTGTGGTCATCAGAAAGTCGATTACTCACAAACTGTTGCCACTCATCGATTGATTGTATACTGTCAGGCTTTAATGAATCAATATCCTCTGTATCTTCATTTGACTTATATATGTTGGTTGTAAGGCGTGTTCTATAATCACCCCAACTCTTTCCCATTCTTCTAAAAGCATCCTTTTTATGAAAATCAGGGACTTCAAATTTTTGCTACATTTAGTGTAAAAATCAAACAATCAGTAGTTTTTGGGAAAATTTCCTATCATTAATGGCTTAGGTCCAATTATGAATGGTGGTGTGTGCTATTAAAATTGGTCATCACTTTTATTTCAATTATAATTCTAAAATTGAATCTTAGGTCAAATACCTATAATGAAACAAATATATCACATAAAATGAAAGAAAAGAACATACCTTTATAGATGTCCATATGAGTCTTTCTTTCTCAGCTGAAGCCTCTTTCCACTTTTTTGAGCTAATTAGAACATTCTGTCGTGCTATTATTCCAATGCTAGTAGAATTTTTTAGACTATTCTCACCAATTGGTTGCCCTCTTTCATTAAATTCAATCGGAAGTGGTGACTCGTTATCATTTACTACTGCATTTGCTAATATTGATGGACCTCTACCCTTATGAGGACCCTTGTGAGTAGAGGGAGTTATTGAAGCATCATTTGCCGAGGTGCTTCCACTATCATAATCGATTGGAACCCCGCTAGAACCTCTAGATTGTCCACCTAACTGTGTATGGGGAGAGTTTGAATCTCCATCTGATATAGTAATTCCCTCATTTCTCGAAGTCCTTAATGCAGCCACAATACAATTCCTCTCTCTTAGTCCTCTTTTTGCACCTACTTTAGAGGACTTTATATGAGAACATATGCAAGATAAGAAAATAAGAAAAACCATTAAAATTTAATACGAGGCAACAAAATTATAATTTAAAATCGATATATTAATTACTTACTTCTGCGGGACCACGCATGCTGAAATTTATCTATCTTTTTCCCTCTTTAATTCGTACTCCTTTGCTCTTATAATGAGAATGACCTATTTTTAAAATCAAAAAGTTCCAGGAAAAAAAATAAACAAAGTATTTCAAGCCATAGATATTTCAAGCATAACATTACATATCATTTTTCCCCTGCATATCAGTGTATTGGTGATAGAACTCAGGGTCCAGACAATACAAGATGCATAAGAATGTTTAAATATAAAAAATACATATATGTTCTTGCAAATATAGATGATATTGAGGGTGTTCTACACTTCAGATAGACCCACAAAACATGTGTACAAGTTATTTAAACAAAAGTAAAGCCTATATGGAGTAGTATTTAAAAGATAAAAAGAGTGAGTGAGGTGTGAAGTTACAAGAAGACATGTCATAAAGCACTACAATAGAATGCAAAAAACCTGATTTATGTAACATAAGACAGTAAAAGGCTATTACATAAACAAAGTCCCAAAATAAAATAAAATAAAATGACTTCCAGTAAAATCTTAATACATCTACACGGTCATGCCCTCACAATCCAACCGCACATACTCTTCATTGCCATCATCATCATCATTTGAGTCCAATCTTGATACATCTAATGGCACAGAAGACACAACTATTTTCTTCGAAAGACTCCAAGTCATTAAAACCTCTTGGCGGCGCTTTAAGTACAACATACCAATTAGATGTTTCATCTTCCCTTGAATAAAAAACTTGCTTAGCCTGTGAAGCAAGAATAAAGGGATCACTTTGAAACTGACTTTGACCTTCATGAAGGTTAACTAATACAAATCCATCTTCAACTTTGATGCCATTTCTAATGTTTGCCCACTCACCATCAAAGATTGGCACTTTAAATGTGTGGTAATGTAACAAAAGTATATCTTTTAAAACACCATAGTAAGATACTTTTCCTAGAACTTGATTTGTATCTCTTGCACTAGATTGACATATAGTTTCCGCTTCAAGCGAAACACCACTATCTTGTGTGCTTCTCTCCACATCCTTGGTGTGAAATCGTTGTCCATTAACAATATATCCCGAATGTGAAATGACTTCTCTTCTAGGCCCATTTGCAAGAGACATAAGTATATCAGACACATCACTACCAGCTGCACTAATTTCATTTGCAAACCACAAACAAAAGGTCTCCATATGTTTTTTTTGTAATGTGCTTGCATTCCTTATGAGATACCTGTCCATCTGTTTAAGCTCCTCCAAATGTTTTTTGTGAGGCAAACACTATAGGTAAGTTTTCATTGTTATTTTTATAACAAATTAATAAGTCCTGAAGATATCATACTAACCCTGTGTACGGTTCCACCTCTGCATTATTGAACAAGACATAACGATGAGCAATCTGTAACATGTCATTCGACATGACTTTCAAAATTCCCTTCGAAATTGGACTGCCATCTATTATTGTCTCACCTTCAAAATCCTCATTTCGAGAATGTCTCACCCTATTTTAAAAGCTTGTTTGATGTGCTCACTATAAAATTTCACACACTCATCAGCCAAATAGCCTTCAGCTATGCATCC